CTAATCAAAATTAACATCACATCAATTGCAGCACATAGCTGCCACATGAAAAATATTAACACATGCGAAAAGCAGAGGCAAAACAGTTTTAAAATTACCTGCTTTTTACCAGATCGGACCAGAGATCACTTACCACAATGATCTTTCCTTTCGTAGCAAACGAATCTCAGCCCTTTAGAAATACTACCTCACCATGATGTTAGTTACAATCGTTTTTTTACAGCTCATGATTAGCACCGGTTTGGTTCCTTGGAAGTAGCATTGGATGCACGCAGCAGATTTTAGAATTAGTGAAACTTTCAGGATGTATGTGTGAATTATCACTTAAGATTGCCTGGGCGTGAGTAGTTCAGAATTGCGTTTTTGTTTTATGAAGGATGACCCTTCCTGCTTACCATAGATAGTGGGCACCATGGTCAAACAGGCAAGTAACATCTGCGGGCCTTATTAGCGTGTCAGATCATTTAAAGCCTACCCCTTGACGGAGAGTATGTGGCAGACTCATGTGGATATTGAGAAAATTAAGCATAATATGTTCCATTGCCATGCCTTCAGAAACACGAAGATATCCTTAATCTGGCTTCATTACAGCTTTCTTTTATTTACAATGAGCATCATCGATAACACAATTGCCAATACTTGTTATGCTGTCATTTGCATGCTGGTCACAGCTGTTCTTGGAAGGGAACCAGATTTCAGCTCGGATGGATGCACACCTGAAGTGAACCATTGCAATTAAATGTTACGTTTGTAAGCAAAACAAAATACATAGATCTGTATCACGGATAGTGCATAGCTATCCACTGAAATTGGAAATAAAGAAAACTTGGGTGGCAACTATATTATAGAGGGGGCAAGTCAACCTGAGAATAATGTTTGGGAAGGGAAACCATAACTAGCATGTATCCATGAGCAACTTATTGCAGACAAAATGACCGGTGAAAATTGGAGGTCACCACTCCATCTCACCAGTAGTTACACACATGGTGACACAGACCTTACTCCCACAAAATCACTGGCACAATGAGATTGACCTAGACCATTTGACAAACCAACCTGAACTTTCAAAGCGCAGTTGGGAGAGGGCCTCTTAAATATTTCTGTGTGTGGTGCAAGTTCAATCATTTTCTGATAATAAAAATAGTTCCCTGTTACTATCACAGAATAGTTCATGCCTATCTGACTAACTCGTTAGTCGTTGTTAGCTATTGATGAAAGCTTCAGCAACCCGGTTATGACAAAAACGCGAAGGCCCCACGCACATTCCCCTCAAATACGCTAATCCGTTATTTACGCCAAGTATCGCTGGAAAAGACGTCAATAGTGTCAGATTATTGCCAGATTAGTGTCAGATTATTGCCAGATATTTGCCAGATTAGTGTCAGATTATTGCCAGATATTTGCCAGATTAGAGTCATTGTCAAATCTTCCCTGTGATATCACCTGTTTTGATATTTTCACAAATCAGTTAAAATGCCCTCGAGTCCAGAGAACATGGAAAGACTCAAGCCGCACCCCGGTGGTCGCAATTGTAGCGAGGAAGCGTAATACTGTTAAAATGCGTTGACAGCGTAACTTGAGTGACGCTTGAACTTGTTTGAGTGACATAGTACTCACGTCCTTCAAATCATGCGAAAAGAATTTACCCTGTATGAGACACAGGCTTCCCTTGATGGTCGAGGATTTTTGGAGCAGCATTCTAGAAAATTCCTTGCGAGAGAACTAGGCACAAATACAAAAGGAAAGAGCAGATTTGCAGTGGTAATATGTCAGGAAACTCCTCATAAAGGAGCTAGGGAAAATGTTCAGGAAAAAAGGTTTTGAACTTTCGGTACTTATTTGTACTGATTGTGAAATTTTCAATCTTCCAGAAAAGGGCGTTGCCTAAACCAAAACCTAAAACTCAAATCCACGTTAGGGATAGGGTACTCACAAAAGAAAATAAATCGACAACGCTGGGAAGAGCAATACTGGTGGGTCCAATTTCTTTAAAACAGCTTTGCCTTATTCGCGTTGTCTTGCGTATAAAAGAGATGCCGGAAATTTATGCGCGAACCAATGGCATCAGCGTCGAGCTATATTACTGTCCACTTTATCACGTAGCTAATTTGTTGAGATCTAGCGAACCCCAATAATAATAATTTATTATGTTGACGCTTACTAACGCGTCCAACGTTTATGCTGGGTACGCTCGACCTATGCATGACCTCGCGAATGTCATGATGCTTAAGTGCCCAAGATGGTCGCATGTTTGATTTACAGCTTCCACCAAAAGACTTTCGTCCGATACGACCCAAATGGCGAATTTAACGCCAATCCCGCGCTATAGGAATAAAGGGCGTTGTTCCTGTGGGTGTTAGCAAGGCTGCCAAGTGGTCCAAACACAAAGCACCATTTTTCACGATCCTAATCGAAACCACTTAAATGTGACGTACAAGCATATGTGCAGCCGAGATGGCGAGGACGGGGGGGGGGGGGGGGGGCGTCGTCGTCGTCATTGGGGCTTTACGACGCACTAAGCTGCTAAGGCTATATGGCGTCACCCGCCTCTCACCCTGGCAGGGAGGGCGGGCGAGGAATCGAACCCCGTATCTCTGGATTCCCAGACGCGCAGTAATTAACGCAGACGCGCTAACCACACGATGCGGACAGGGTACGTCACTTCCCTTCCCCCCCCCCCCCCCCCCCCTAGTGGATGCGGTGTTTCTAGAAATAAAACATCGCTATGTGGGCGTGCTTAGCCCTTCCTTGCGGTGTTCTTCCATATAGTAGACAAACGTGCAAGGACACCACGATAACGGGCCAAGCACGTGCACATAATGACATTTGGCTTTGCTAAAATAGCAATGATCAGTACGATACATCTCCGCAAGTCGAAATATTAAAAGCAAGTCAGCCCGTCCTCCAGTGTGGCAATTTCGCACAGCCAGTTTGGCAGTCATCCCGTAGCCATATAAATGTATGACAACCCAATCAGATGATGACGCATCGAGGAACACATGTTTTAATAGTTGAAGTCGGTTGTGCAGAGCAGCCTTTTGCAATTCATCATGTCTGGTGCTTGCCACCATATCTCCAAACGTGGAACATTTCCTTGGACCTGATAGCGATATAAGGGTCGCCATAAGTTCTGTAAACGCACAAACATTTCTTGCTTCATCTTTTTCCTAAAAGTAACACTGATTAAAGTCGTATTTTGTGGAAATGGGACACCAAACAATGTGGGTGGAACACATGGAAAAAAACGTTATCTCCTCGTGGTCCATGTTATTCGTCCTTTTGATAGCCGTTCGCTATTGGTGCTGTCATAATTCTGGGAACTTCGGCCTTTCACCCGGTGTTATGGGAGCAAAGAGTTACTTTCAAACAGGGGAGCACTGGTCGCAATATTGTCTACTACTTTCTATTGTCTATTACTTTCCAAGAATACGTCGAACCAAGCAGCTGTTTTATACCATTTCAATGGACGTCAGCGCACTTCTGAAGCGGATGTCTCACCATTCGGTGGGCATACAACGGGCACGCAGCGCAGCTGAACCGCGCCAGTTATTCAGCCCGTGGCCCATTGTAAAACCTGTAAAATCGCAGCCAAACATACGTTTATGGCACCCGCCGACGACAAAACCATCGCACGAACTGTCGTCAAGTGCCAAGCGGTTTTAAGGCATGCATTGGAAGCGAAAATGCCATCACGTGGTAAGTCAGGGACGTCATGGATATCAATAGCGCCCCGAAGTGCCGGTGCTTGGCAAAAGAAAGGCAAGGCAGTCAGTCCTGTTGGTTGATTGTGAACACACAAAATCCGATTCCCTCTTACCTCTATGGACACTCAGGACATGGCGGAATGGGCTTTTGATAATCATGCATATTGCTGTAGCGATATCTAGAAAGGAGTTGCATCGGGATAAAAAGAAACTCTTGGTCCCCGATGAGCAGTACCTAACAAATCATTTTCAGTATCTAAAAAGGATGTCTTTCGTCTCAGGGTCCACCACATCTTATGAAGGGCTTGTTGGAAACCTATGATTTCGTGTTCTGACCCATGCTGCCACCGAAATCAGCAGTATGGATCAGCAGACGGTGCATGTGGATGAGGCTCTTGTTCTTTACGCCGCAACACATACGAAACATTCCACTGGTCACTTTATCACTCCATATGCCCAGAAGATAGATGATGGGCAATATGATGATACTTACTCCAGCACTAACAGCACTTATAGAGCTTCTAATTATTAGTTTGCTGCTAGCACACGCGTGTTGACAAAAGTGACAGTACACGCGCGTGCTCGTGCCCAGTAACCCACGCATTGCGAAGTCATACAGCCTATCTGTGTTTGGGGGAGGAAATTTACAGGCAATAGCTTTTCTTCCCTGACATACTCAAGATGTGTCAAAACTGACATACTCAAGATGTGCCCATCAAGGCAATTCAGTTTTCAGGAATTGAAATGCACGCCTTTGATTGTGCTCCTTTTTGCCAATGCTGGACGAGTATCCCGTTGGTTTATGGACCGAGCTTAGGTGATGTTTGAGTTGCGTGGTCATGTGCTGGCCTCGACACTTAAGCCATTAGGCATTACCAGCATGCCGCCTGGTGGTATTTCTGACACGGCCAATCTGGCAATGATGCTAACGTCAAGAAGACGTTCCACGACGTAAGAAAACAAGGAAATACTCAGAAGCAGAGTTACTAAATCGTAAAATGTGTAAGCTTGAGCAGTCTTTTGCACTTAAAGTGTAGCGATAGCCAGAAGTGAGCTTTTCCATTAGAGCTGATGCTTGGCTTGTAATCCTCAAATGTGGAACACTCCCTTCAACCACCCACCCGGGGATATGAAGCTGGACGGACGACCTCCCTGTGGCGCATGGACACCCGTATTCTGGCCCGTAGCCGCGGACAGGCGTTCACTGTATGACCGTGCAGTCGATGAGCCCTAAAAGCCCCCGCGGACGGTGTGACGGCTCTGTGAGTACATAAAACGCCGCTGACGAGAGGCACGATGTCCATCTGCGGATACAAGGCCAGGCAGGTCGAGAGCGAGCAGCACCCCACCCCACGTTACACCGCCGGTGAAGAGCTCTGCCGATTTTTGTAATTCAATATATAGTTTAAAAATGATGCGATTCTACTAGATAACTTTAGTTGTGTTCAGTCGTTTTTGAAATTCTACCACATCCCATTACATTTAACGCCTAACAAAAATTAATGTTTGATGCTAGACAGCACACAGACCACTGAAACAGAAATAATTCCTATAGTGTCCCCTTGAATAACAGCCAGGCAGCCGCGCCGCCACACAGCGCCTCTGTGCTGCGCGCCGGCGCGGCTGCCGGTTCGACGGGCCAGTTCGCCCAGCGAACGCGCCGGGTCACGGCGGCCCCGCGGCACGGCCCGGCGGTCCCAACAACGTTGTCCACCTTCGGCACTGGGGCTTTGCAATGCACTCAGCTGCTGGGACTACGTGGTGTCGCCTGCCTCTCACCCTGGCAGGGACGGCAGACACCGCGGAAATCGAACCCCATATCTCCGGTTTCCCAGACGCACGGTGGTGCAAGGGAGTGTCCCACCTTTGGGACATATTTCCAAAGCATACTCTAGTGAAATCGCAGTACTATTTACGCCTAATGATGACACTGGGTAGTGCCACTGCAGCACCGTCAGGACATAATAAGGATATGGCTTTAAATTACTTTTTACTCCAAATTACGCTGTCAACGTATTTTAACAGCATTACGCTTCTTCCCTACAATTGCGACCACCGGGGTGCGGCTTGAGTCTTTCAGTGTTCTCTGAACTCGAGGGCATTTTAATTGCTTTGTGAAACTATCAAAACAGGTAACATCACAGGGAAGATTTGGCAATGACTCTAATCTGGCGCACTATTGACGTCTTTTCCAGCGATACTTGGCGTAAATAGCGTATTAACGTATTTGAGGGGAATGTACATGGGGCCTTCGCATTTTTGTCATAACCGCCTTGCTGAAGCTTTCATCAATAGGCAATAAAGACTAACATGTTAGTCAGATAGGCATGAACTATTCTGTAATAGTAACAGGCACTACTTTTATTCTCAGAAAATGATTGAACTTGCACCACAGACAGAAATATTTAAGAAGCCCTCTCCCAACTGCGCTTTGAAAGTTCAGTTTGGTTGTCAAATGGTCTAGGTAATTATGATAATTCACACATACATCCTGAAAATTTCATTAATTCTAAAATCTGCTGCGCGCATCCAATGCTACTTCCAAGGAACGAAACCGGTGCCAATCATGAGCTGTAAAAAACGAGTGTAACTAACATCATGGTAAGGTAGTATTTCTAAAGGGCTGAGATTCGTTTGCTATGAAAGGAAAGATCATTGTGGTAGGTGATATCTGTTCCGATCTGGTAAAAAGCAGGTAATTTTAAAACTGTTTTGCCTCTGCCCTTCGGATGTGTTAATATTTTTCCTGTGGCAGTGATGTGCTGCAATTGATGTGATGTTAATTTTGATTAGATATTTGCAGCTGCTGACCATTCCACTCTGTAGCTTTCAAAAAGAGGAAACACCCCCTCGATATATGATACTTTTTATGACTTTAATACCACATTTTGAAGGCCTTCGCATCTCATCTGTGTGCAGAGCCCTGTTGGCCCAATGCATTGGGTAAATAATGAATGATGCCTGGAAACAGCGCATCTTATATCAACCATTATGACACAAAAGACAGGGTATCAAGGAAAGGTAGCAGACATGTGAAAGTCCTCGGGTGTCGCTACCCAGAGTCGTCATGAGAGTTCTTCCAGATGTACCTCAAGATCGGACCACTCCTCACAAGACCATTGTGATTTCACACACATTTCACACACTTCACATCAGCCATTATGGCACAAAAACAGGGTACCAAGGAAAGATAGCAGACACGTGAAGGTTTTCAGGTGCTGCCAGCCAGAGCGGTCTTAGGAGTTCCTATTTCAAACTTTTTTTGCCTCTGCTCTGCGCGTATTTTGCCTTGCTCGTTGCAAAAGCCCGTTGACGGCACTGGCAACGAATCAGCTGTTTCGCGAGTGAATTGAAGAAGAGCATGCATGTTTAAAAAGCCATACTGAGGGTTTGGGCAGTTTGTGATCTCGTGAGTTTTCAACAGTCGGCGTGCGTCTGGTCGCAGGAACATGATCACCAGCTGTACTGCTGGTCTCTCTGGTTCTGGTCGGCCCAGTTCGGCAGGAGTCAGCGGTAGCTGTCCCGTCCTGCTTCACCAACGCGCTTAACCAGCGCGCGGTGGGTCCACCGGGTTGGCTTAGCTGGTGCGCCCCACCGACGCCAGCTGGCTGCCGTTGCCGCCGCCGCCGGCACCTGCCCGACCGGCTGCTGCCCGTCACCTCGGTGGCGATGCAGCGGCTCTAGACTGCTGCTGCCGCTGCTGCCCCGGACTTCGTGCGCGGCGGCCGAAAGGCCCACGAGGTGTGCCAGCACCTGCTGCGCGACCACCTCACTATGGTGCCGGTGCAGATCGACTCGGAGTGCGCTAGGGTTTGCGCGCGCCTCGGCCAGCCAGCCGTCTCTTTCCAGTGTCTTCTTCCGTTCATCGAGTGCCGCATATCCATTGCCGCGGCTCAATGTCACGACCGGGCAGGTGAAAGTGCTCGTACGGACAGTATCGTGATGCGCGACGAGGACGGCCTGGTGGCTCATCGCGTCAGCCAGAACGGGCTGTTGCGTAGACGCCCGGAGCCGGAGCACTGCTCCATGGACGGTCATATGACCACCCAAAATGAATGATTAGCTGGCTGGCCGCTCCTTGCTGTGTAATTCTAAGTAATGGTGTTGGAAAGAGCTCCAGACAATTGGTGTAATGTTTCTTTCAAAAACGCTCTTCACATAACTTGTGGTCTAGGATAATCGAGTAACTTACGCGGACGCTTACACTCCGGTGAGTTGTGTGAATCAGCACCCATGGATTAGGTAAAAAGGTGGTATATCACATTGCTGAGTGCATCAGTAGCCAGGAGCTCAGGAATTAGGAGTGGAAGGGGGAGAGAGCAGGGGCTAGGGCGTCTTAACTCCAATTTTAAGAATATGTAGTATTGCTGCTATTGACGTTGACGGTACATAGATAACCAAGGTCTGCCCGGCCTCCTGGGAAAAATTGTGTACTACATTCCAGTAGGTATCACCCTTGTCGTTTGACAGAACGCACTGTAGCCGCACGGTGCGAACGGGCTTGGCTCAGTATCACCGCTGGGTGCGTAGGTGTGTGGATGCACAGTTCGGGTTCTGTAGCCGTTTTTGCTACCACTGACCAATTGCGGTAGTGTTAGTCTGTGACACTCTGACATTGTTATCAGGTCTAGTGATGACCAGGCCCAATGCCTGATTGGATGGCTGTGAATGCTGGGAAACGTAGCATTGCACGGTCAGCTTTATACGCTATTTAAACGCATGATGCATACTTTTGCCTGCAATCATACCCATATTTGAGCATCTTTCATGTTTCCTAGCGTGCACGTAGCCGTCACATCAGCTAGATACAGTAGTGTTCTGCAACCACCACTGATTTTGTAACCAAACCTTTTGCTGCCGTTCAAACGTTTGATTTGAAAATACATCATCCTCTTAAAATATAATTGGTTTCATGTGATTTTGGCTGGAAGAGTTTTGAATGCGGTCAACAATCATGCCGCCGAATTAGCAACTCGTTTTTAAAGATTTAATCCGAGCCTTTTGAATCAATGGATTTCTGGTATCAGAGCTCACGCTAAGCAGTGCTTGCTGAGCGAACCCTGATCCCTACCATCGCATTGCCCAATGATATGTCAACGACAGAATTTGATGGTGGAAAGTTCAACGTGCCGCAATGTGCGGCACGGTCCGTCCTGCTGTCTCACGTCACCTGACCTTTCGCGTGGCTGCTGCCACCAGCCGTAGACCATACCTGCTAAGGAAAAGCGACAACCGCCAGAACCGACTCGAACCCAATCCGCCACCAGCAGGCGGACCAGAAGGCAGGCGCTCTAACCAACTGGGTCATTGAGACGGACTAAGTGATACTGGGTCAGTTAGATACTTGATAATCTTCAGGAAGCAGCTTAGCACCCCCTCCCTTTGTGCCACTCTCATACCTTAAAAACACAAATGAAATCGCTAGTCTTATTGCAACCCAGGTGTGTAATTCCTTTCAGTTGAGGGAGTGGAATACTTTGGTTCCCAGCTTGGGCACCAGGCCCACCCAATTTCAGAAAAAATGAACAAAATCTGGAGAGAAACCCATTTGTTAGAATATCTTGAGGCTAGGCTCCGTTGTTTTTCATTGTTCAGTCCCCCCCCCCCATAAACAGCGACATAGTCTGACAAAAAAACTATGTTCTTGTTGCAGGCACGTCATCTTGCATCATGCCAACCATGTCAGAATATTGGCAGTAGTCTAACAATCTTAACTCCGTTTTTTTGGGTTAAATGCAAGACAAAAGGATTGGTAATAATTTGTACATAGTTTTCAAATTCCATGTTACCACACTACCTGGTTGACAATTTGGGAACACTCCTTTTTCAGTTGGCAAAGCCGTTGGTAAATTAAGCATATTTATTAAAAATCAAAGCTGATTTGGACATCAGCTCTGACAAGGACTGTAACTCAAAACCACCTGCTCATGTTGTGCGGTCCAAACTCGCAGATATGTTAGACAGAATGGAAAACATTTGGCCTTTACATAGCACTCAACTTTTCTCAGGAACTAAACACACCAGAACATTGCCAGAGTTTTGTTTTTCACTTCCAATATCTGCATCACACATAAATCTAAACATGCCCAAGCTTGTGATGTCAAAAATTGAGAGCCACACAGCCCAGGGGTGGAACCAGCATTTCCTTGTGATAGAGCATTTACTAATAAGTCTAGCCCAAGCACCCAAGATCAATAAAAATATGCGCACATATTCATTCACACATTTACCTCATTTTCTCGTCACACAATACTGCTGTATACAAACCACCAATGACACTGTCATTTTAACGTTAAACAGCCCTGTGGAAAGGTCGCTGTACATGTCAGGTAAAGCTTCAAAGGTGATTTAAATGGAGAGCAGCATGGCTGCGTACAATCAATTCTGCACGTTCCTGATGATCACCCACAATAGTACCTTCCTGCTGCGTTCATCGGCTCTGTTTGTTACGAATACCACAGAGCAATCAAAGACAAGTATATAGATATTCTGGTGCATACCAACGCGTGGTTTTATTCATGTTATGAATAAATTACGTCAGCAATGCGCTACGCACCCCGACCACCGTCGTCATGACAACCGACGTGCGCACATCTGCTGGTACGAATAAAAGAATGTTTGTATTTGGCCCAGCATGCGGCAAAGATCTGTTACAGAGGAACATACTGGTTGAAGTTCGAACTAGTGCACCACATGCATAGATGTGCAGGCCAGATAAGACAGGTCAATGGAGTGGTTCGCTTGCTGGTAGGTGGACCCAGTCGCTACACTGGTAAAGACAAAAATCATAGACTCGCTGTGACCGAGCCATCGCAAGGCATGGGACGAGAAGGCCGCTGTGTAAGATCGAAGAAGCAAATATCAAAGCCTAGAACCGATTTTGAAGGGCTTAAGCAGGGATATGGCCATAGGGCAACGATCCTGAATCATCTATGTCTTGTATTTCAATGGTCAATGTGCGGAGAAATCCCCCACCCGCGTGTAAAGAAATCCCTGCCGCCGACCTCCACGACCGCTGCTTGCGCGGATGGTCCGCCATGCTCACACTGAGCGATGGTGGGGCCACTATATCCCTATCTACCTGTTTACTCCAGAATTCCGCGGGAGTCGGCTGCAGTCGTATCCAATATGTACGGGCGACATCCGTTAGGAAAGCCTGCCGAGCGTGGACCCAACCTTGATGACAAGCGCCGCGCCACCGCCGATGGCTCGGACGGCTTCCGCTGCGCTCTCGACAAGCATCGGCGGGGACTACCGTTCTACCTGGCGTCCATAGGGCAAGTGCTGCAGGGTTTACCCTGCTGTTGTGCCAGATTCCGTGGTGGGCATCCAGGGGCGCAATATTCGATACTGCCGTGGGGTGCACGTCGGCACATCTGGTATCTCGGTGATGCTGCCGGTGTCCACTGGTCGGCAGCCGCGAGTGAAGGCGCCGACGTAAGAGTCGCTACGGAATCTGCATCGTGCGGGGTCGTGATGTTGCCTTCCGCTGGCTTGGCCCTCTAATGGTCCTCACAGACAGGTCAAGAGCAGAGGTATTTGCCATATTCAGGTATATTGAGCGCGCGAGCAGGCACCCGGGCAGCGTCAGGGACTGATTACCCTGTTTCTAATCGGATCTAATCTAAAGGCAATCTAATTGGATTGAAGACTTATGAGCCCTCAAGACCAGCTCGCTACTTACACAACGATGATTATCACGGCATTAACATGAATACTTTATCCAACCAACCGGACCGTCTCGAAGCGCCAAAAACATGTTCCAAGAATGATGTTTGAACTTCACCCACACTTTTTCTGGGAACTCACGATAAAACTGTATTAAGTTACTGACAACTATACAGCTAACTGGTACCAAACATTGATCAAACGTCGCACAAAAATTTAGATACTTCAACACCGCACATCAAAACACAGACATTTTTTTCTAAGAAAGCTCAGCTCAAGTATAACAGAGCTTAAACAGATAGCAGGGAGTAGGCCGGACGAATCCGACGATCCGAGAGGTGTGAGATTATTGCAGGAAAGGGTATCTGCTGGATATGTCACCGGACAAATGAAGACAGAATATCAGAGCCTACGGGTTGCCTAATGTTCCCTAAACAGCACTGTTTTAGTCATTTTTCTTAGGATCCTGTCCCATTGCAGACGTGCATTGTGCAGCTTCGTTTGGTGATGAAGACCAGCGTCGGTAGGTTACCACCAGAATCCTGATCAGCTCGGTGCAGTGGTTTGCTAAGCCACACTGAGTTCCCAGGAGGTGGTGGCCCGGATCTCCAACGTCATCGGTGCCGATGCAGCACACCACCGCGCCCTTCAGCATCCGCTTCAGGTACGGCATGGTAAGCCGCGTCCAGCTGCACCATGTAACGGTGGAGCTCCTTCCCAGCACTCAGAACCACCTCTTGACTGCTTCTGCGGAGCGATTCACCAGTCCACCGCGATTTTTCAGTCACAGACGGTGGCATAAAGGTGTGGAATCGTCGGGCTCCAGGCGGCTCACCAGTGCTTCCTGGCAGGTGACACAGCCTTCTCCTGTCCAGTGCCCTTAGGACGACGAACACGGTGACATAGCAAACTGCTCTGGTGACCACGAAGGACAGCCCCGGCCTGGTGGTCACGACCGTCCAGTATATCGAGCACCTCGGTGCTGTCGGTGTTACGCGTGCCCTTGGCGCCAAGCTGACTGGGCTTGGGACCCACAGCCAGGATGGATGGGACCCAGCCTTGTGATGTTCCTGCTGCGTCCCGTGCGAGTGCCGGAATGTAGCGACGAACTGGTTGGCGCTCGGGCTGTTGTTACATCCACTTGAGAAACCATGAATGGATGGTAACGAGCTCAAAAGAATCGTTGAGCTCGATGTCAGAATTTGGGGTTCATCTCTAGGCTTTAAGACACCGGGGCACTTGTTAGAAAAAAATTGGTGCAGATATTCTGAAACAGATGAAAACCACATGCCAAATAAAGTTTCACTCCAGTCAATGATCTTTTAGGGG